TGGTTCTGCAAAGGCGACTGGCAGGCTGGGGGAGGGTAGAGGGTTGGTGGGTGGTGGCGGCGGTGCTGGTGGTGGTGGTGGTGGTGGTGGGTTTGGACTAGGGGCGGCGTTTCATGGGAGATCGGGGAGGAGGCGGACGCGAACACACACACACACAGACACACACACACGCCGCTGTTTCCGTGGTGAATATTTGATGTTGTTCTTGTTTTGGAGCGGCAATGCCAGTCTCCGTTTGGCTCTCCTCTCAGGCCTGTTCGCTCGCGTATTTACATTCGACGCACAAGTGCGCTGGCCCCTGCTCGGCCTCGTCCTCGTGGCCCCCGCCCCTGCTCGCCGGGCATAGAACACGACAGTGTTCTTCTTTGCCTTTGACTGCGTGCGCTCTTTAGTTACAGTTGGTAGCCGGACCAGGGGGCCGGGGAGGAGCGAGGAACGGATTGACCCGCACACCCTGTAGGTCACGGGTTCAACTACCGCGCTCGACTCGGCCCACAGTTTAACAACGTCATCATTATCATCATCATCGTCATCGTCAGTGAAATACCCTTTTTTCTCAGTGGCGCAGCGCGGTGGTCGTTTTGCGGCGATGGTGGTCCTCGCCGGACCATGGCGCCAATCCTTTCTCCCCCACCACCACCGCCACCACCCTCCCCCTTACCGTCTCCTTCGCCTCGGCCGCTCGGGGCAGCTCACGCATTCCGAAACTAACCTTGCGTAATTTTCTAGGTAGCCCACCGACCATCCACCCCGTCCCCACCCCCCTCCCCCCTGCGCGGCCCGCTCGGCAGAGAGGCATCCGTCATTACGGCGGGAAAACTTCGTGACGCCTGGAGACGCCTCTGCCTCTGGGGGCCGCTGGCCGCTGTGATTGGCGCAGAGCGCGAAGGGGCTCAGCGGCCGAGCCGCGGGCGGGCGGCAGCGGCGGCAGCTCCGAGAAGCGAGGGGCGGTCCGTCTACACGCACGCACACACACACACACATACACATACTCACTCACATGCGCGAGTCGTCCGCTACCGTTCGAGGACACCGTTGGAAATAATGGTAATCGTAATGACAGGGAGATGAGGATGAGAAAGAGAAAATAACGTCCATGGCGGCGGCGGCGGCGCTGCTGGTCGTCGTCGTGGACGGAACGCGGGAGTATTACTGCGGGGTTTGAAACGCGCGGCGTGGCGGGGCGTGGCGGGGCGGGGCGGGGCGGGGCGGGGCGGGGCGTGGTGGGGCCTAAAGGGGGGAACACCGTGCGGCACGGCACCGAGAACACCCTGCCCGTCATCGCACCAAAGACAAAGAGCCGTGGTCCGCTGCTGTGGCGGGGCGGGACGGAAATCGAGGGCCGCCGAAACCTGCTGAGGCATCATCGCCTCACGACCGGGCGGGGTGTGTCGGGGTGTGGCGGGGTGGTGCGGTGGGCGGTGGCGTGGCGGCGAGCGGGGCCTTTGCCGGCCCTGCCCACGGGGTGGTGGCGGGGCGTAGCGGCAGCGCTCCGAGAGCGTTCCGAGGTGGCCGCCGCCGATTGGTTTCCAAGAATCGAAGGGGGCTTCACAGAATGGAGGTCAGCCCACACAGCAGACTTATGTGTGGCGGAGAAGTGCGCCGTGTTCAGCGGCGGCGGCGTGGTGTTGTGTGGCGGGGCGCGGCGGGGCGCGGCTGCGTGTCGGCCGGCCGGTCCTGCTTCAGGCCCATCATCGCACGGCGAGGCGAGGCGAGGCGTGCCCACGGCCGTGTTCTGCTCGCCCCGCCTCGCCACGCCCACGCGCGGCCGTGCTGTGTGGCCCCACCCCGCCCGCCACCCGCCCCGCCCCACCCCCCGGCCAATACCGACACAACTATGACTCCGCCCGCTGCCTGCACGGAGCCACGGCGGGGCGGGGGGTGGCAGGAGGGTCGCTCTCACTGCATGTCGTATACGCGGGGGGAAAGGGCACCATGGTTGCGGCCTTGAACTTCGTGACTTTGATTCAGACAGAAATTTTAAACCTGGTTCGTATAATCCTTCACCATAATACACTGAAAAACTTTTGCCCGCCTGGCTAAACGTGTGTTTAATGCTTTGCACCCAGCTCAAAATTAGATATTGCCTCACCATTCAATTTGTGTGCTGTGCGGTAAATTTTCTTAGGGTGGGCACTAGACAGTTTAGTTCAACGAAAAAGCTTCGATCAGGACACTCCTCAGTGCTCAGCAACAGTGCTCAGCCAGAAAAATCTAGTCCACGTTCTTTGTACTCACCGAGTGCTTGCGCGGAGAGGCGCATGGCGAGGTGCTGGTGGTGCGTCAGGTCGGCGCCGAGGGGCAACGGGGACAGCGGGGCGACGGCGGTGAGCTTGCGCTTCCGCGGCCGGCCCTTGGGGACGGCGCCGACGATGCCGCCGGCCACGCCGACGGTGGCGGCCAGCGAGCCGGCCAGCGGCCCCGAGGCCAGCGACAGCCCCGTCAGCCCGCCGGGGCCCAGGGCGCCGCCGAGGACGCCGCCGCCGCCGCCCGCCCCGCCGTCGCCGTGGTGGTGATAGTACGGGGAGCCCCCGGGGGACTCGCCACCGCTGCCGCTGCCGCCGCCGCCGGGCCCCATGGGCGGGTGCGTCTCGCAGCACGCCGCCAGCAGCTGCTCGAAGTGCGGCCGGCAGTAGGCTTGCCACGACGGCGACCTGGGCCCCGCGCCCGCCGGGGTGGGGCTCACGCCGAACTGGTCGCCGCGCGCTAGGGCCGTGCCGCACGTGGCGCAGGTGAAGCAGTGCAGGTGGAACACCAGCTCGCGGGCGCGCATCACCAGCTCGGAGGAGAAGATGGCCGCCTGGCAGCGCGCGCACCGCTTCACGGCGAACATCCTGGAGCAGAGCAGAGGGACACTTTCAGCTTGCAGCCGGGTCGCCTGCTGGGTAGGCAACCCTCCCACACCCGTGCGCCAGCGCGCCTCAGTTGCCTACCCAGCCAGGCGCTAGACCCAGACGGTAGTACACATGTTCCTCATAGGCCACTATCAAGAGGGCTTACTAGCTACCCTCTCATACGAGATTCAAAATGACAACAACCGCCCCCTCGCTCCCCCCCCCTCCCTCACATGCCCCACAAACTCATAATCCTCTCTTCTTTTCTCCCATTCGCCGCTAAAGTGCTGCTGCCGCCGCCCCCACCACCGCAGCAGCAAACCCTTCCGGGGATGAGTTGGTGTTGAATCTCTCGCGCCGCGCCAGTCGTGGTGCTTGAGGGGAGGGGGGTAGGAGGCCGAGGGGAGGGGGATGCTTCACAACCCTTTGAGGGGGCGCGGTGGCGCGGTGGCGCGGCGGGGCGGTGGGGGCTCAGCAGCAGTAGGCAGCGGGAGATCCTATGGAGAGCAGCCACTCATCTGGCGCCCGCTTCAATGTGCCTCCGTCCTCCGCCAGCCCCGCTCTCCCTCCCTCTCCAGGTCGGCCCGACCGCGCACTTTTCCTGCTGCCGCCGCCGCCACGGCTCCAGGGGTGGAGTGCGCCTCGTCTTTGTTTACTTCCTCCAGTATCTCCTATCCTCATCATCTCTCCAACGCCCGTGTTGTGAGCGCGCGCACGGCCTCTTTCCCCATCCTGCCCCCCCCTCTCTCTCTCCCCCTACACCTGCTCTTCCTATCTCACTCGCCCTCCCCCTCACTCACTCACTCACTCTATCTCGCTCCGTACGCCCCTTGTCGCAGCATTCCACCCCCAACAAGCCCTCAGCCTTTTTTGTGTGTGTTTCATGTATCGCTCTCTCGCTCCCTCCCTGTTTTGCTCACTCCCTCCCTGACACACACACACACACACCGCGTACAAAGTCAGTGTGATCAGGATGATAAGCCTCGCCTTGCCTGAGCGACCTGCCGATAGAACGCGTTCCCTCCGAAGTAAAAGAATTCACGTTTGCGAAGACAGAGAGAGAGAGAGAGAGAGCGCAGGACTGGTTTGTGAATGAAGGAGCGGGGGGCTCAATGGCCCCGGTGGCCGGTGTGCCTGGCGGCGGTGCGTCCGCAATGTGCGGATTAAAGGCTCTTTACCGGCGAGCCGCGCGTCGCCAATTCATCGAAATGTGCGAGTAGTGTTCCGACAAACGAGCCGGTGGACCGGGAGTAGCGAGCAAGGAGCGAGAGAGACGGAGGCAAAAAGGAAGGAGAGGGGGTGTAGAAAAAGAGAAAGAGAGAGAAATGGAGGCGGGTAAAATGTTAGCGAAAAGTAATCTGTCTACGAGTGAGATGTGGTTTGCGGCATTCCTCCACGGAGCCTCCCGTCCCGTCGGCCTCTCCTCACCGCGCAGTTAGCAAGCGGGGCGTGGCGGGGCGTGGCGCGGCGTGGCGGGGCGGGGCGGGGCGGGGCAGAGCGAAGAAGCGCGCGCAACATGGCCGACGCATTATGGCGGCTCGCGGGGATGTGGCGACGTTATTTCATCGCGAGACCGTCGTATGCCCAACACTCCCCACCACACACCACCACGCCCCCCCCAGCTTCCACACACTCCACCGAGAAATCCGCTTTCGGTCAGTCGCCGCTTTTTACCCAGGGTGTGCTGCTCCACA